TGGCCCCCCCCCCTTCTTTTTCAATTCAATAGGGGGGAAAGGTCAAGCTTAAAAAGAACCATTGTTTTCATTACTGAAAATTCTTAACTCTTAGCCAAGCAATTCTGTTTTCAAGACATGCCATCACCTGTTAAAGACGTTTACAAAACACACGTGGGCCCTCCTGCTCTCCCAGCCCCATCAGGTCCTAACTCTTGTCACCTGGGCAGAGCGAGCGTGTATTTCAAACTCAGGGGAGACAAAAATCAGATGGGGGAAATGAGACTATGAACTCGTTTAAGATGAACCCAAACATGCCACTTAGGAATTATAAAACACGCGCACTTACGATCTTGCCCTTGAAGCAGTCAATTTTTGAAACTCCTTTTATGTTCTTTGCCAATTAAGTGATAAGAAAAGTCGGATGCATCAGCTTTGTTCTTATACCCCAGTGCCCCTGTGGGAAGGCCTTCTTGTGATGGAGTCCCATCAGTGCAATGTATGCAGCCCATTCTTACAGAGTTGCCACAGTGTAATTTTTAAAAATTCTTTAAAATGCATCTAAAGGAGTCTCAGTCTTTGAAAATAGAGTGGTGTTTCACCACTTCTACCTGAGGCAATTAATTGTGGATTTGTTCTTTAATTGACTGGCTTTTGGGGAAACACGTGTTGCTGCTTGTGGGGAGGATGGGCGAGCCTTGAGTCGAGTTTATGGAGGGCCCTGGCATAGGGATCTTTGCTGTATTCTACTAGTGCCCCCTTGTGGAAATACAGTCAATTAATTTTAGGAGGTTTTTTGTTTTTGTTCTTTTAGTCTGGGCGTGCTCAAACTATGGCCCACTAAGGACATTTATCCGGTCCGCCGGGTGTTTTTGCCCTGTTTGTTTTTTCACTTCAAAATAAGATATGTGCAGTGTGCATAGGAATTTGTTCATAGTTTTTTTTCTTTTAACTATAGTCCGGCCCTCTAATGGGTCTGAGGGACAGTGAACTGGCCCCCTGTTTAAAAAGTTTGAGGACCCCTGTTTTAGTTCATTGAGTTGGGCTGCAAACTGGCTTTTAAAAAAGGTTTTTAAAAGGTTTCTTTTTTGTAATTATGTTTTCCAATAATATGAAATTGTCAAGGTATTGGAGTGATGTGTAAGGCTTTTTGCCAAATGAGAAATGTGCTCAGATGTACAGGGAGTTGCTATTCTAATCTTTTATCCATTTGCTAAGTTATAGAACATTCTGACCTCTCACTGTCACAATCATTAATGTCTCCCTTTATAATTATCTACACAATGTGTACTTTGAAACATCAAGGTGACTGTCTTTCTAACATTTTTTTGTAACCTGCTAGAACTCACGTAGTTTCTTGAAAATTGACACCGTGCCCCTCATGACAGTTTTGTACATTGTTTTACTCTTTTATTTTTGTTTTGCACTTAATGTTAAAATTGAAACCAGGCGTAACGTGTCCACTTTGCGTAGTTTAAGTGTGAGAAGGAATTTCTTAATGAGTTTACATGACTAAATCAGGTATATTATAAATAATATGCCACCCATTGAAGGCTTTTCTATATGTATAGATAATGTTGCTGTTTTATTTTATTGTTTTCTTGAATGCTGTTGTGTTGTAATAATTTAACTGCTTCAGCTAAGGTGTTAAGAAATACTTCACCTATGAAGAAGTGCTCTTGACTTTAATGCCCAAACACTGAAAAATTATGTCAGAGGTACCCAAAGACAAGTTTTTATACATCTCTACATTTTATAAGTCAATTTCTGATTTATTTTATTACTCCTTCATTTAATTATGCTGTGTTCCAAATGAATCAGGAATGAGAATGGTTCATTGTTATGTTTTTATTGAAAACTGTCCTTTTAAAAAAGAAAACTGTCAACATAAGCTAATCTAGTTGCCAAGTTGAAGTTCATTATTTCATTTACCTCCTATGCAATGATTAATGCTGCAAAACATACGGTTATGTTACAGTATATTCACCAAAGAAATATGATCACAGGTGTGAAAAGTAGCCAGTTGCATTCTTTTGGAAATTTACTGTACTGTTTCAGTGTGCTAAGTGCCTTGTTGTAAAGTAAAAATTTAAGTCTAGAATTCATTATTTTCCTGACTTAAATATTTTTCATTATGATATATATACATATATATATACACACACTATATGCTATTGTAATAATTTTATTAAATGCTTAGATTTTAATCAAGTATATATAAGTTTCAAAATTCTTTCCACCTCCTCACCTGTACCTTAATCGCTGGTCTATCGTGGGACTTGAATTCATATTCTTTTTTTTTTTTACAAAAGGAGAGATGATCTTTGTGGATAAATACGTATTCCATGCTTGTGCTTTTATGTTTGTAAACACATTTCAGGAGGCACTTAGAATTACAACTCTAGTATATGCTTCTAACATGCTAACAGTTTACTTTTGCACTTAAGTGCCTAATTGTTAAAACTAATTTGTTAGTTTTGGTAAAAAAAACAAAACTCATGTTACTTCATTTCTTTGGCTTTGCTTTAAAATACTGCAAGGGCTTCAACTTTGTATCTACCCAATAAACCAGTGACCATCAACAGTCTTTTCAAAATTAGTCGTACTGTTTCTTTACCTTTTAATAAATAATGTGCTTTTTCTTAAGATGTCTTCAATTTATAAAGTTCCAGGAAACATTAAAACTGCCCAAGGCTTCCTTATAGAAGGTTCCAGAATCCGTTCTCCTTGAATTGCTGAGGTAGGTGCAGAGGGTTCTTGATCGGAAGCTGCAGCCTCCTTAGAATAGATGCATGTAGTATCGTTAGTGAGCATCCTAATGGCACGCTCTTCTGTGTCTGTGAGTGCGAAGTACCCAGGTAAGGGGGGGCTGTAGACCTGACTCAGAAAGAGAAGGGAGCCCAAGGCATGGTAGGCCTCGGGAATGGTGGTCAGGGTCCCCAACCCCTCCACA